TTCTGTGATGTACATTTCTTGACATTACATAATTGCAATTGCAAAGATGTAAATTTGTACTTTATACTTTTATATACGCAGATGTTTTGTTGGTTGCCTACGGTTTTATACTAAACTTGTTTTATTTACGTGATTTTGTGATCGTTTTACGACTTGGCTGTAATTTACATTGTGCGATAATCCACGAAATTGTTACGTTTCGTGTCACGTTCCTACTCTTTACCGGCGGTTATCTGCTGTTCGTCTAAACATTTAATAACCTCTTCCATGGCAGCACGATTTTTCACCCGCGATTTTTGTTTTGGCTGAATTAAATTTATTTGCCGGCAAAGAATTTTGTATTATTCTCCCCGGCGCTGGATGAAACGTGTTTGGTTCCTGCCTCAGCGTGGCGCGTTTTATTATTCTGTGCTTTCTCGGAAAATAAAGCTTTTTTCGCGGGAGTAGAGCGCAAGCTTACTCGAACTTGCTTTCAGGCGTGCGCTAGTGTGTATGTTGGGTGGTATATGTATGTGTGTGCGTTGTGAAAATGGTGAAATATGTCCGTGGCGAGCTTTTCGGCCACTAGTTTCTTGCCGTATTTCTTCGCCGGCGACATTCTCTCAGGTTCGGCGAAGACGACGGGCCGACCGCATTAATTTCAATTCCTAAAAGTTTTATGCTTTTCTTTTGGGCGAGTCAGCCACGTCGTTTGTTTTTGCGCTGCGCGCGGTGCCAACTGAGGAATAGGCGAATCCTTGCGGATAAGTTTTTCTTACGCGATGTCGACTGAGACCAGCGATTAAATTCAATTTTACGTTTTTTAGAGATCGAAATGTTGTTTTATTTGGTTGGAAACGTGTTATATAGTTGCCACGCCTTAAGATGGCGTTGTGTTAGGTGTAATGTTGGTTGCAGAAATTAATTTATAATGAAAGAATAGTCATGTTTTGAAGTTTGTCGTATGTTTTTGTGTAAAGTTTAAACAGAGGAGAAAAAGCTGTGGAACAAAGCCAATAGGGTGGACAGCCAATTTTTAACATAAAGCTCATGCTTTTGTTTACAAAAAGAAAAAAGAAAGTATATAATTTTTATTTTGCATTCTCTTGGCAAAATAATAAAAGCGAGTTTTTTAAAACCTAATTCACATAAATTTTTATACCTTGTGAATTTAGTAGCAGCCAAATTAAATTTTCAATTATGACCTTTTTATGAGAAAAATTATGACTCCAGTAAAGTCAATGGTAATTATTTGCGTGTGAAATCATAATTGCTCCTGTAGCTGACATTACAGAAAAAACGTGTCCACGAATAATCGCCGATGATAGTCATCTTCCAACTATGTAAAATGTATATTAATAGCAATATTAATAATATAAATGGCCTGGTTTGTTTGCATTTAAAAGTTCAACAACGAAGGTCGTCATGCTTTTGCTATTGAACTTCGCCGCGCACACCTACCTGCACACATTGCACGTTTACTTGTTTACTTCGAAACACGAGCGAAACTTTGAAACGACAAAAACGCACGCAAGAAATACATTCTTTGCATCGGAATTAAAATAATTACGAATAATAATATATCATTTCAATTCTAAAATTATTCCGTGCGCTAAAAATAATAATTTACCGTAGTTAATTAAATAATTTCATTATGGTGTAAATTTTACGCGCCTTTGTGGAGTGTTGGGAAATGAGTAGAAAGGACACAAAATCCTTTTTTGGCAAAGAAAACACGAAACTTAATTAAGTGTATTCTTCCTGAATTTCCTGCCTTTGGAAAACGTGTCCTTGTTGCATCCTCGCCTGCGTATCCTTGAACCTTTGAGATACAAGCTAACAAGTTAGCGGGAAATGGAAAAACGGACGCGCCAGGCGCAACAAATGTTACGAAATGGCGCGGCGTGTGAAACGCGCATAAAACGAAATAAAAAAAAAAGCAGCATGAATGTGCGCGAGACAGAAAGCTGTCAGAATGTGTGAGTCATGGTTTTCTTTGCGAAAGTTATTTCTTCATAACACGAAGTGTTGTGCTAACAAAACGATCATAACCTGCGAATGGAAAATTACTTAGCGGACATGTTTCAAAATAAACACTGGGAAAAGATGGAATCATTTATATATCACAATTTCGTTGATTGCTTTCCATTTGAGGTTAGAATCGTTTCCGTGCTGGTGAGATAGTAACCGTTTTCCATTTAACGGATTAGCTCATCTTTAATGCATCCAACTTGTTGATACCCTTATAGGGCGGAATGTCCCTTTAACAGATAATATCATACGGCCAATGACCGCCGGTCCTATCCTCAAGTGTCGTTAAGTATTTACTGCTCGCCAAAAATGTTGATTATACAACACACAACACACCCGGGTATTTGTGAGTTCGCAATTGGGGTCTTAATCCAGATATCCTGGATTCCTCTCTATGCTTGATATCGATATTGGGCTTATACCGGATTTTGGCTCTGCGAGGCAGGAAAGGATGGCGGAAATCCTAGACCCGCACCAGTAATTATTCAACACTTGATGAATGTTTCATTCGAGGTGTATAACGAGCGGATAATGGCCAAAAACTTAGTGGTGCTTTTTTTCTGTACCTGTGGGGTGCAAGGTTGAAGTTGTGTGAAGGGGTGGAAAGGTCGACGCGTTTCGGGGTTTCGAAGGATGGTTTAATTAACGGAACGGATGAACGGCAACAAGGTTACTATGAATTAATTAATAGCGAATTTATTTGGGTGATGAATTTTTTCTTGAGTTTGCAAGTCTTTGTATGTCCTTGATGTGTTAATCTTTTTCTGCCATGGGCGTCTTTGTTGTGGCGACATTGAGGGGGATCGACGAGCAAAAGTTTGTCTTTCGCCTTGGGCATGTTATGGCCCGAAATCTGGGAATCGCCCCGAATGGAAGTCAAGGTTTTCAGCCACCGCCACAGCCACCCTTTCCTCATATTCTATGTCTGTGTGTATTAGTGAGTGACGTCACGAAATGCTGCAGAGGCGAGCGCAGTGCAGCAGCTTCCTTTCCATTTCCACCGCGCTGGGATTTCCCTTACATGCCTGCCGTACACAGTTTTGCGGCCGGCGTGCCACATTACCATGCCGGGGTGTCGAGCGTGCTGGAGAGGTGATGGGTGTAAACGGTAAAGGGTGCGGGGCGCGATCTCCGCCAACCAGGCGGGCCAGTCGAAGTGACGGTAACGATCGGCGGCGGCGGCGGCAGTGGCAGTGGTGGCGTGTGTGTTTTGGTGCGGCGCGCGTGGGCGGCCGGGACGAGAGCAAACGCGCACAGCTGTGTCCGCAGCGCGAGAGAGAAGCAAGATGGCGGCTGGTCGCGCGCCCGGCCGAGCTTTTCGGTTGGTCGGTAACGCGGTGCGCCGCGACGCCGCCGCTGGCTCTGCCGCTTCTTTTGCGTTTCGCGGGTTCACGCGGCGGCGTGTGTGCCCGTCGAAAACGAAACCGATTCAGTCGGTCGGCCGCCGCTCCGGCTCCAGCCTCGCGCATTTGAATTCAATTTAATATATACAATATGGCCTTGCAGTGCCGATAACTCCACGCACAGCGTTGTTGTTGATTGTTGACTGTTGTTATTATTGATCGAAACAAAAGTTGTTGTTGTTGATTGTTGAGTTTTATCGCATTAAGTGTTTGTTATTCGGGAAGCGTTGAAGAAAAATGAGTGGTGTTGGTTTTCTGATGAAGACGTTCACGCAAAGCGGTCGCCGTCGAAAGAAGTGCGACAAGCAACAACCGCTGCCGCCGCCACCACCACGCGCTCCAGCCAACAATGGTTGCTGTTATCATGCCGCCGCAATGGCGATTGCCTCGCAGCCGGACGTGGTGCCCTGCAGTTGGGAGCCCATTACGCCGCCGGCGGCGTTCATGTCGCAAGAGTTCATTCGTTTCGGTTCTGGTAGATTCGGTGAGCGAAAAAACACACACGAATTTTTCACATTCTCGACGAAATCCCGACGCGAAGAAGCACGTACTACCTATCCACTATTTTGGCGCCCGGCCAAAGAATGCTCTGTTTGCATTCCATTGTAATTGAAGTATTCGGGATGAGTTTGCGCAAGGATTGCATGGAATTCCAGAGTTTTAGGTCAGAAATATAAATATAATTCCGGTCAATTAACACGTTTCAGCGCTGATTTCATTCATGCCTGATGGCGATTGGCAAGCGACTGTTGATAGGTGTGCGGCTGGCAAACGTAGGACTTGTAGGAAAATAGCGAACAACATTTGGATGCGATTCAGAATTCCGAAAAAGCATCTTTGGTGACTCAAGCTCACGCTGGCGCGCACATGTTTTTCGTTGCATCCAATTTTTGTGCGTGGTGGAAATATTTCTCACCTAGTTTTTCTCGTACAGTTAGGTTACTGCGCGTCGCTTCAAAAGGCAGGCAAGGCGAAACTTATTTGCGGTGTCGTCCCGCGTGTTGGCAAACAGCAAACTTTTTGACTTGGCTGCTAATAAACAATGCTATAAAAATGTGTAATATTTTGACTTTGTAACGAGAAAACAATGCGATTTAAATAGGTTTTATCGTTATGTACGATTTTACATAATCTGCTAGTCATATTTCACCTTTTTCAAGGTGCTTTGCATCGGTAATTGTTTATTGATTATTGATTTAGTTGTTGTTTTTTTATATACAATGTTTTACAATTGATTTTTTTGCATACGTATGAGGTGAGGATAAAAATATATCGTGGAATGTTCGGTCTATAGATAAATACGCAAATGGGACGGACTTTGGAATGCGTGAAACACATTCACATTCATCAGATTGGCATTTTAATGCGCGAATATGAGGAATTTACTATTTTTTTTTCATGTAAACATCCGTTTTCTTTGAACTCGGAATGAAACTGAATGAAAATGTGACTCGCGCAAAAACTTGAAACTCATTAAACGACGCACGGGAATTTATTTTTTTATGCTTCAAGTTGTTTTTTTTTTTTAAATTGAAATTTAAATATATGTTGTGTTTATTGATTGTGTTTATTGCTTGCTTGTTGCAGAACCGAAAAAAGACAAGACTGATGGATCAGCACACAATAACGGCGCACTGTCGCCGAACGGCGAGATGCCCTCGCCGACGATGCAGCCACCTGCGTACGGTGAAACGCCCGGCAAGCCGGAGCGCCCGAATTCGCTAGGCCCCGGCAAGCTGACGCGCCGCCTCCTCTGCTATCACAGCGAACACTGTAAGTCCATGCCGCCGGCGCCCCGCCGCGTGGCGCGCGCTTTGCTCGCATCATTAATATTCCATCGCGCGGGTTTTGTTGTCGCCCGAGGTCGCGCATGATTGATCACGTAATTTACCAAGGACTCGCCGCCAGTTTCAGATGGACCACAGGGCCCGCCCGGGAGCACGCCGCCGCCGCATGAGCGCCACCCGCATCCGGTGCTGCCGCCGGTGGCGCCGTCGTTTATGCTCTCCGAGCTGCCGGAGCCGCCGATCCCCGTCTCCGAGATTGGCCCCATCCCGCCGCCGCCGATGTTCAGCTCGCCGAGTCCGGTGCCCGTCCATCGGCAGCCCAGTCCTCTGCCGCCGCAGCAGATGGGCGATTATGATTATGATGGTACGACTTAAGGTTAATCCCACTTTCAATTGATTATAAACACAATGTATGTTTATATTAATAGATCAGGACGACGATGACGACGGGATAGATCCCGAGGACGACGATTATTTGTACCGCATGCCCCAACCAGACCCCACCATAGATACCAATCGAGTGGACGAGATTCCGGCGAAGGAGCCAAAGTTCAACGCAATGCCGTTGAAATCCGCGCTGAAGAAAAAGGGCAGTGGGAGTGGACCCGGCACGCCCACACAGGAAACCCGGCATGTGACCATGAGGAATCAGGAACATGTCACATTCAAGTGAGTAGATTCACACAAATGATCTGAGCGCTTTCTAAAGAATGACAACATTATCGCACACTAAAAAGATTCGCGCACTTAACATTGAATGTTGTCTAATCATGAACTTTGTCTTTACGCACACCCCCGACATTAAAACAAAACCAATTAATCCTAGACGTGCTCAAATTCGGCCTAGGATGCGCATCTGGTAACTATGCCTTTGAATGTACTCTTTATCTTTTATATTTTGATGTTGCCCCATCTTATTAACGGTATCAGAGCTTGGTGATTATATTATACCGTAATTTAATTTGGTTCTTGATTGTTTTATTGGATGATATTTTATATAATTGTTTGTTTTTTTAGTGGCAAACCCGGGAAGTTTGGTCTGCCGTGTACGATGGAGAACAAGGAAAACACCCGACCGTATGTGATACGCGAGAGCAACGACGATGATGGTCAGGACGGTCCGATTCTCTATCGCGATGATGACCATAGTCACGATGATAACCGGCTAGCGGTGAAGATCGCCCGTAAAGAGAGTCTATCGTTGAAGCTGTCGTTACGGCCTGACAGGCAGGAGCTCATTAATCGCAACATCCTACAAATGCAGTCCGAGAACGAGCGGCAGGAGAGCAAGGAGGCAATCGGAGCGCGTCTAATTCGCCGATTGAGTATGCGGCCAACACAGGAGGAGCTGCAGGAACGTAACATTCTCAAAAGTATGTTTTTGACATGTTTCTATTTAGCGATATCAAGATGGTGGCCGGGGACGAGGAGTTTAAAATGATCGCATTGTGCTTTTGTTAGGAACTACGCCCGCCGAGGAGAAGAAGCAGAAAGAGGAGAAGAAACGATTCCTGCTGCGAAAGCTCAGCTTCCGGCCGACGGTCGAGGAGCTCAAGGACAAGAAGATCATACGCTTCAACGACTACATCGAGGTGACGCAGGCGCACGACTATGATCGACGCGCGGACAAACCGTGGACCAGGCTGACGCCGAAAGACAAAGCTGCCATAAGGAAGGAACTCAATGAATTCAAGAGCTCGGAAATGGCTGTGCACGACGAGAGTCGTCATTTAACAAGGTATACAAAACAAATTTATATGCAAAATTCTGTATGGTTCTAAATATATGTTTATTTGTTTGCAGATATCATAGGCCTTGACAATTGCAAGGCGCGCTAATAGAAGAAATACTAAGAAAACTAAATTCTGTGATGGGCATAGTTGTCATTAGTAGAACTCAATTTTCCCATAACTGCTTGTTCGTTTATTAAACTTCTGATAAGTATACCAGAGCGAAAGTAAGAGAAACAAAACGCAAATGGTTACAATACCGAATAGAACAATTGTAATACACTAAACTCACAACACAGGACTATTGGGCAAACGTAGTAATGGGGAAGAAACAAATGATTAATAAAAACACATGCATATATATTATATATATACGAATCTATAAGAAATATTCAAATTCCGAGAAGACACATGGAAAATATTCAATTGCGAGATATTATTTGACTTCATTAGCTTTTTACCTCGACGGTTACATTAAATTAGAAGACGATAAGAGGTTGAAATGTTGACCCGAACGTTGTGAAGATCTACTACCTAAAAAGCGCATAAATACTTGTAATAATTGAGTAAGTGACGAACGAGAAGAAACCTAACAAGCTGTTTTTTTGTACATACAAAATGTGATTTTCTATTACTACATATAACAAGATTTAATTAGACATATTAATGTAAGAGTAAGAAATGGCTAACTTGATAAGCGATAACTTGAGGAACGAGAAACAATGAATTTTAGATAGAACAAAAGAATGGCGGATTTGCAGCAAATGGTTATAACATTTATAGATGTGTAAAGCGTAAATAATTCAAATAATCTTTACAAATAAGATGATATGGATGGCACAGTGTGAAACGAAAGAAATTTGAGATTGAGAAGAGAGAAATTCATTCCAAACCGATTGGAAGCGCATACAGGAACAGGAGAAACATCCATTTACGGATCGTTTTACCGAGTGGTAATCATGCCTACTCGGCGTTATAACGTACTGAACGCCCTGTATATAGTTTGCAAGCAATTGCAGAGCGATGGGAACGCGAGTTTGAAGCACTTGATGATCAAATTTGTACATATGTAGCATAAATTACTTAGGTTCTCGTTCATTTTAAATAAGACAAAACTGGAAGTGATGAAAATCAAAATACTACAGTCTACACGAAGAAGACGCCCGCAGTTAGAACGTGTATTTAGAGAATACCACCCGCAATATCTGATCGTTGATATGATACGAACAAAAACGAGTTTTACTTTTTGTCTTTCTGTTTTGATATTTACTATGATTCGTTACTTTGTGCGCCATTTTGTTTTGCGGCTCACACTTGCTAAAGATGCAATTTTAACATTGCCGTACTATTTTTAATGTTTGTCCTTGGCTTAATTTATTCGAATTTACAAGACAATCTATCAACAAATTCAATCACGCGCTTGCTAGCGACGTGCGGCAATACGTTTTTTCTTCTACTTGTTCTTTGTTAGCGTAAATTTATTGCGTTTTATTCTTGCGAAATGAAACATTTACTATACAGCTACAGTATTAAGTTAGAACATTTTTTATTTGCAAGACGCAACTGTAACACGTCTACTTGTAAGTTTTTAAACGTATCGATTCATTCATTGTATTTTCCTGCATAATATTAACCAACCCAACACGTTGTTCTGGGTTGAGAGAACCGCCGATGTTCACACACACACATCTACCACACCAAAACAGAACCCACACACCGAGAGAACAAAATGGAAGCGTTGATTAAATTATTAACATTAATTAAAATGTTGAATGTATTACTTAGTTATACCTTTGACCATTAAAGTTACAATTTTACATGATTCGAGGCGATTCATTCAATAGCGTCACGTCGATGAAGCCGTTTCACATATAAGAGTGAACATTTTGTATTTGTAAGTAGATTTTTCAGCTATTTCAGCTTTTGCAGACTAGACCAAACTGCTGTGTGTAATATAGTAAATTTGTGGCGAGGGTTGCGACGAATACGGGGACGGTTCAGTGAGAGGGTGAGGATGTATTCAATATTATTACTCAAACAATTTATACTGGTGTAATAACACGAAGATGTCTTCCAAATAAACAAGACATTAGTTACAATTACATGATTTTTCTTTAATGGAAAGTCTACTTGTTTTTATATCATTCTTAGATGGCGCTAGGATGCACATTTTAACTAAAAGTTTTGGTGAAGAATGTGGCGTGATCTTGCGCGACTATGCGCTTTATCTCTTATCTCAGTGCACAACGTGCAGATGTAAACAAGCAACCTGCGCGCAGCGTTTACCTGTATTTACAAGTGAGAACGTATCGTATCAACCTTCTTATCGCACTCCACAGTGCTGTACGGTCAGTTTTCGTCGTATTTTGTTAGTTGCTTCATTCTCAATGCACGGGCACGTTTATTAAGACTTTATTACGTCCAATAGTATTTTACACTATTAACAATTTATCTTATTTTGTTTGTTAACGCAGTGCGTCGGATTTAATAAGATTGTGTGCAGTGGCATGTTCGTAAATCAAAAAAAAAAGTGTGCTTTCTGTGTCGGAAAGATGTGCTGCTGTCCGACTTCGACATCTACTTTTTATTTCTACAATTATTTTCCACTCAAATTTGGAACAAGTAAGTAACATAAATCTTTTATTTACGTTTCTAATTGCTTTACAAATATTTTTATGGTAATGCGAAGTGCAAGACTTATGCGACGTCTGACTGGGTAAACCGACTTTACACAAATTTCTTTATTATTCTTTATTATTCTTTATGATTCGATCAAGTGGATCAAGTGTTGACACAAAATGGTCTTACTCTTCTCTTTTTTTGTTTCTGCACTTGCATTTGATGTGCGGTATGCAATATGCTGGAAAGTTAATAATTTATATTTGCATGTCACTAAAATACGAGGGTAGAACATGCATATTAGAGTAGTATTCGTTTCTTTCTCTACTTGTTATCAGTATTTGTATATAAACAACTTTTTTATCCTGCGTTCAACTCTCGCTCTTGGCGCGCGCTGTTGCAGAATTCACGACATGCCTTCCAGTCGTGTTTAATAATTAAATTCAGTTCGAACTGACTGATATTTTGTTTGTAATGAATTATAACCAAAAAATTCAAAGGTATCTTAAAAAACCCCCTTAAACTTTGTCAATATTTCCGTTCGTCAGAACGTATCATGGAAATTTGGCACTATATCGTAAATTATTTAAAATATTAGAGTTTTCTTAAAATTTATATAGCGCAAAATAGTCTTTAAAATTCCTTCAATTTTAAATAGCGCCCTTTTTACGTTGCGACGTAAAGGAAGTGCCTTAAAACTGCCCTCAAACTTATACGAGTTTTGGGAATTTTCGAAACACGCGGTGAAAATTCGGCTGTATCTCGTGAACCGTTCTTGCGATTTTAATGATTCTTTCAAATTTAGATAGCGCGAGAGGTATTCTATACAGGGCCAATGAGAGGGTGGGTCAACTGGGGTAAATTCCCCGGGGCCCGGCTAATCGCTCTTAAATCGCAAACACAAAAAAATTAGCAAAAATGCACAATTTATCTCCTAATTCAAAATATCGCCATTCAAAAAGGGCAAAAAAAGAAAAATTGCACTTTTAGTCACGTTCTTGGTCCTATTATCCCACGAAATTAAATTATTTTAAGTTCTTATCTAATGCAGAATTTTTCAATCTTTCATTACTTTCAATCCGTTGGTGGAATTCACTTTTAGTTTAAAAGATACGCACTATTATCGTTCATTGACTCGAATATGTCAAGGACGGTAATTTTTTCTTGTTTATTCAGTTATATTGCAATCGCAATTGTATAGTTGAGTACCGTATGAGGGTAGCGGTAGAAGTGACTCGTGTTCAGAGCACCGTACAAGGGCAGCGGTAGAAGTGACTCGTATTCAGGGCACCGTACAAGGGCAGCGGTAGAAGTGACTTGTATTCAGAGCAGCGGTAGAAGTGACTCGTGTTCAGAACAATCAGCTTATCTTATAGAAAATTTTCCGTAGATTTAGAATTTTATATCTGTTCGTATATATATCTTTTAGTTTACGAGATATTTGCAATTGAAATAAATCGTCAAAAAATGAAAAATTGCAATTTTAAGCACTTTCAGTCGTGTTTTTAAACTTTTTACCCCATTAAATGAAATTATTTTAAATTTCCGTCTGGTAGAGAATTTTCCAATCTTCCATAATCTACTATTTTCTGGCTGCTATCCCTTTTAGTTTACAAGATATTCGCTGTCGAAAATCGTCGATAAAAACTACAATGTATCAATTAATAATAATATAATAATGATTTTAATAATATTATAATTAGATTCATTTATTTTGAATAAGTATATTCTATTGACTTCTATATTTGAAATTTTGAGTTATGTGTAAAAATTGCTATTTGTTTAGATAGGGTGGTGCATGCGTACTCTCGTGTACGTGTGATACACGGACACGGCCACTTAGGTGGGTGACACTCACTGATACATAGGCAATCGCTCACTGCCTCATATGTACGCCACACTTTTTGAAACGCTTTGTATTTTCTGGAGGTACAATAAAGAATCCTCAGGCGGCGCAACGATGCATATTTTAACTAAAAATATTCCTGCGAGTGAAAGTCAGCGTGCACAGTTGTGCAGTTGGCACTCATCAGTTCGCGCGTCGAATAATAATACTGCAAATACTCGTGTTTCCCGTAGTATTCGATATATCGCGTTATATTTTATTGAATTTAGTGTTAATTATATTTCCGCGTGAATTTGTGATCGGTTGCCGTCGGACGCCGGCCGGCCATGTGTGATTGTAAATAATATTCTAGTTAAATTCGGACTTGTGTGAACCATTTTTGTCTTCAGCAGAACTTGTCGAGGCAATGTGCTACCTGGTAAGAATACTCATTTCAAAAAACTTTGGGGTTCCGCTGGAATTTAATTCTACATTGTCTGAAATTGTGTATCTAATGTTTTGTTTCTTCTTTATTTCAGTATCTACTCACATTTGATTTGCGTTGTTCAATACACTGGTAAGTAATATTTTTACTGTTTTCCTGCAATTAGAAAATTGATATCTTAAACTTATTTTTGCGGAAATTTCTTTCAAGTACTCCGCAGAAAATTTGAAAATGGAAATTTAAACTTTTTATTGCGCATACCTCCATATGCGGGTATGTGGTTCTGAACATTTTATGATAGTAAAGTGGGTCCTAGTGTCCTAGTGACCAAATGTGAATATACTTTTCAGCAGAAAACTTATAGATGAAAATTTATAAGTTTTTTTACTGAAGTGCCATAAAATGTTGTGGAAAATCGCAATAAATAATTGGAATTGTTCATTACTTAAACATAAACCGAAATAGACTAGAAACAATACATGTTTGAATTAAATTTTACTTAAATATTCGATGTAAAATAGGCCATTCTTTGAGCATAAGAAGTCATAATTTCATGATTTTAATTTTAAAGTTTTAATAATTTTAATAATATAAATTCCGGTACTACTACTCGTATCTGTATCAGTCATACTAGCATGAAAACAAAAATAGAATTGTATTGTTTATTTCTTGATTTATCGACAAACGTGGGCATTCGGCACGTGAATTGCGTTTGTTTTGAACACAACTTTCACTTTCTTATCGCATTCGCCGCTTGGAATGCAACGCATGAGATTCTCACAGTCTAGTTTAATTTAAATCGCAGGTATTGCGCCTATTGCAATTCGTGCACAAGGTCGCGTCCCGTCGACGCGCAGCCGACTTTGCGCATCTATTGCAATTCGCGCTCAAGGTTGCGTGGTATCGACGCGCTGGCTTTGCGCATCTATTGTTTTTGCCTGCCGGGTTTATGCAGCAGGCACAGAGTCTTATAGTGAACTGTCGCATCCTTGCGTGCGCAGTTTCGGCAAGCGCTATCGATGGATTGCAGTCAGTTGCCGGTCGCTGGAGTGTGTAGACGTATTTCCCGCGACGCGTATCGTTTGATCGGTCTTCTATTTTCTAAATTTGCATTTCGAATATGTTCGGTCATCAATCGACTTAGTTGTAACATGCATCTCCAGTGTTATGTTAGTGATTAATTGTGCGTTTATGTTCATAAAAGTTTTTTTTTGCTCGGTTTTGATGTTCATTTATCAAATTACAAGCTGCGGTTTTATTGTCGGTTACTGTGTGACTTTGTCGGTCAATCGGATACATATTCCTGCCATGTTTTTTTCCGTCATTAGGAGGTCCTTTCGTGCTTGAGTAAGTAACTTTTATCTGACCTTTTCGAATGTTTGTTTTTCTCCGATGTGTGAATATAATATTATTTTATTGTATCATAGAGTATAAATTAAAGCAATATTTGCGATTTGATAGGCATTATTAAATTGCTTATAACTGGCATTTTCATGCAATATCAACTTTGTTGCATATTTGGTAAAATGTGTTTTAAATTTAAACCTGCCATTACTAGATAGTCGGTTTGATGTCATGTTTTCGCGTTAAATATTGCTTGTCGGTGGTAGTGAGTGCACACCGTGTCCGTGTGCGATCACGCGATTTCGCACAAGAGATAAGTTTGTTTACCTGCAGATATCACATCTTGCAGTTCATATTGGCATCATCTAAGCAAGTATTCTTCAATTTTCAAGTCATGAATATAACAAACAATTTTACATTAGGTGTAATAGTTTATTATAAAAATCTAAATCTATCCTATTTTATAGAGAATAGTCCGTAGATTAAGACGCTGCGATCCTAATTATCTCTTTTAGTTCACGAGATATTCGCGATTGAATAAAATGGACAAAAATGGAAATGTCACTTTTTAGCACTTTTTGTCGCGTTT